TTTAACATAACGTTCCCCGTTTCATGAATGTGAATGTAAAAGTGAGGCAACGCAACGAGAAGAGCGAGTAAAAGGTTTATAATCGCAATCGGTATCGTCGAAGCTAACCACATGTATGGATGAAAGTCCTTGTACGAGAGACGGCCTAAACGGAGCAATTAAAAAGGAATTACTAAGAAATAGACACGAATCTCACAATTTAATATCTTTATAATAAAATGATGCAATTCATAAATCCAATAATCAAATCATAAAACAGTTAAACATCGTAATTACGTCAGCAATATTATTCGCTGTACATCAACTGGTGAAATTACAATCAAAATGAAATTTAGATTTTATTATAACAAAAACATTATTGCGAGGAAGGTAAATTTAATGTTAAAAGTAAATTAATGTTAAATATAAAAAGCTATTATGTATGGAATATATGTTAAAATTATTACATCATTCCATTGATCCATTATCGTCTAAAATAGAGGAGTCCTTTTCTTCTCTAAAAAGATATAATAAACAATCAATTGCCTTTTCTTGGATCAGCTTATTTCAATTATTGTGCGAGTTTGTTATTCTTATATTTGAATATCTTGATCAGAAAGGCATGAACTTTTCCATACAACCGCAGAATTAAATAATAAATCGATGCTACTGTGGAACGTGGGACTAAATAGGTTCTTGTCTATGCTAGCGTGGAACTAGGTTTTTGTCTATGCTAACGTAGAACTAGGTTCTTGTCTACGGTAGAACTGACTCAATGCAGCACTTGGCCGCTTGGTGCAGCGTTTCTTTTCGAAGGTCAACTTAATGTTATGAACGTGAATACTTTCTGTTCCTCTCAGCTAGTAAATATTACGATCATACAAACCGGTCTCAACACTCACACATATACCAAATCCTAGGGAAAACGGTCCGAAAATTGAGCTGTGACTAGTTGTGAAAAGTCAACATGGAAGACAAAAAGGTTCTCGTTCTACGCATGCGTGACATGGTACGAATGTCTCAAATAGAGACAGAGACACTCTATTCATCTCTGTCTGTCTCGCAAGAACGCGTATTTTGTTATCCTTCCATGTTGATTTACCCAATTAAACACGACTCAATTTTCGTACAGTTTCCCCTAGCGAGTGTCGAGACCTGTTTATACGATCGTGGTATGTGTAAGTGATTAATTTATGTAGTTTCCGATAGTGATTTGAAAGAAACGGCGATACTTACATAAATATAATCTACTTAATAAATAACAGTAGAACTATTTAATAATAAAACTAAAATAGTAATGTTAAGAGTACTTGATATTTTTTTTTAAGATAATAATTTACCGATAAGGTTATGTTTACGATATATTAAAACAAATTAAAATTTCAAATCATTCTTATGATTCATACCCAAGAATCTTTACATATTATATTGCGCTTAATTTTTTGTAATCCGAGAGTAAAATAAATCTTGAATCGTAAATCTTGTATTACATAAGGAAATAAACGCACGGAAATTTTATTAATACTTTAAGACAATATATGTATGATATTGAACTGGAACACGTAATAATATAATAAAGGTCTTTAAGAACAAGTCATCATGTAATATTGAAATATTTACTTGTGATACATAAAGTCTTTCGACATAATCAAGGAAGAAGAAAGTATAAAATTATGTCGACTTTAACGCGCATGCGACTTATGAATGGTGGGGGAATACTACGGGGAAAGATATTCCATATTTTCGATCGAAGAAGTATATCTGCTCCTGCTTTAAAAAAGAACAAAATGGTAAGATTATTATAATAAATTTATAACATTATATATTGCAGAACGTATTATTGTTGTTAATATTTTATGAAAATTAAAATATTTAACCTACAGGAATATGTGCGTGTATCAATTGGAAATTTTATAAATAATCCGCGAACATTAATTTGAAATCTTTATGATAAATTTCGATCTTCTGTTTCATATTATTGAAATTGATGTTTAACTCTGTTTGCAAATTTTTATCGCTTTAAACAAATGAATAATATGTAAAAGCATATATTATTTATATACTTACACATGAGACATCGTCATTTTTGGGCGTAACAAGTGGTTGAGATCTATTGCATACAAATTGTAATTTTTCATAATTAAAAAGGCAGCAGTTACGAAAAAAATTATTATTAATCAGTTAAAAAGTAAATTTTATATTTATGCAGAAAATTTATTTTTCCGAATTATATACTACTGCGAAATAAGGAGCGATTGAAGCATTGATCTGACATTCCTGTTACTAATATCGTCAGGGAAAACTTTTTGCTTAATTAAAATTGTTTTAAATAGCAATGAATTTGATTAAAAGATTATGTTTATGTAGTTTTGTGATTAAAATTTGAATAAACTTATTACTTGACAAATATATTAAATAGTAATTTAAATTAAACTTAATACATTTTTTAAAAATATATCTTATTTTTAGGGAAAACTTACTCAAGAAGAACGAGAAAAGGATTTAAAACCATTGTTATCTAATGGTTGGTCTGTGCAACAAAATAGGGATGCTATTTATAAGGAATTTTTATTCAAAAACTTTAATCAAGTGTGTTTCACTTTAAAAATTAATCTTTTATGATATATATCACTTTATACTATATTTTTAATGTTATTGATAAGTTATATATTTTTTACATATTTATGTTGACAGGCATTTGGTTTTATGACAAAAGTTGCATTGCAAGCAGAAAAAATGGATCATCACCCTGAATGGTTCAATGTTTACAACAAAGTAAACATTACTTTGTCTTCTCATGATGTAAATGGTTTATCACAGAGGGATGTAAAACTTGCATCTTTCATAGACAAGGCTGCTAAAGTGGGAGAAAACTAAATATTAATTTACAGGATAATTTTTAAATAATTACAATGGATGAATGATATGTTTCTATGATAATAATGTTAATAATGTTTTAGAATTTGTTAATGTTAATAATGTTGTAGAATTTTTTGATGTTATAAAAATTATATTACATACATATAAATGCTGTAGGTATATTTGTTTCATATTTGTTTTATACTATGACTTCTATAAATAAATACATTTTATTTAATTCAAATTACTTGTAGAATTAATTTGTATTCGTTATGCTATCACAATTTATATATTATCTAGAACAATGAAAATGGATTTTTATAACTATTATTTAAATAATGCAATAAATTATTTAAAGACAAATAATTTATTTCTGAATAATTTATGATAAAGAGAATTTCAAAACATCTAAATTAACATATTCATGATCTAATCAAAATATGTAGTAATTAGGAAATTATTCTAATCAAAATATATAACAAAGGAATTATTCTTCATCAGAGGCAGGTATGGTTCGTGGGGGTGTTTTGCCAATTGCCCAAGCATCTTTCACAGCTCTTGAAACCCCAGGACCATTATTTATGAGTACAAACAAACCACACAGTGTAACTGCTGAGATCATAAGCAATGTAAAGTGCAGAATTTTTGGCACTACAGGTCCAACAACACTAGGACGTGCATAGTCTGTAATAACAGCTTCCAAACCCCTATATAATATGTGTTACAATATAATAAAAACACATTAAATCTATAATTAAATAAAGAAATAAAAATATTCTGCAGTATGCAAAAAATCATATGTGGTGTGATATCAATAATTTTTTAAAATAAATAATTACCAATGTGAGTGCATTACGACTAATACAGACATTATACCATCAAGAATTGGATTTTCTGCTATTAAAGCAGCAGGTATCAAAATTGGTAGTGCTGTAGAAACAATTCTTTCCATGACCCACAAACGTACATGATCACCTGTGGGTGTACTTGCGTTGCGGCTTATTTGTGTACCTAAAGTGGTAGTTGCTGGGAACTAAAACATATTTACAATAAAATATATATCACAGAAAAGAACTTATAACATAAATATTTGAAATAAATGTTATAACACCAATACCTTTGTTAAGCAATTGGTTTTATTGATAGTTGTACCATAATTTAAACATTGTCTAACGTTGGCAAGACTACTAGATGTTCTACCAAATTGAGGTAGTTTGCAAGAATTTGCAAAAAGATTAGATTTTGAAAGTAATTCTGTAAAAATAAAAATGATATGATTTGTATTCTAATTTGGATTGTCTGTATAAAGATTAAATGTTTAATCGAATATTTAGAATATACTAAAAATTATATTAATTTTACATATTCATAGATCACAAGTAATGATCTAATTATCTTATATTATGTATACAGATTTTGTATTTTAGTTTATAATAATACATTATATCAAATAATATCACAATGATTAAAGATATAGAAAAATTTGTTCGATAAGGTTATGTCAATGTCATTCAAAATAGTAAAAATTATATAAATCAAAACAATTTATATATCTTTTCATATTTCAAACCCCACTTACCTAGTTGTTTAACCTTATGAATGATGGTGGGAGATACTACTTTCTTTAAAATCATTTTGTTATTGTAAAATACAAGACTTTTAAATCTGCACTTGTTTGTAGAGAACGATGAACTATGAACTCCTCTTTAATTTTTTATGACAATTAGATATTACGATTCTAATCTCCTATAAAAGTATGTGTGTATAATTATAGAGATGAATTTTCTGTATCGACTATTTTCACCTCGACTATTTCGTTCGACTTATCGAATGATTGCAACGATCATTTAATTTGATCTGAATATTTTGATTACGTATAATGTAAGTTGACAATAAATAATTTGTAAAGTGAAATGTTTTTATTATAATAAAATGTTTTACAAAAATAATTTCGTTCTCTTATACTTTTACTTCTACATTAAGTTTAGTTGAATACAAACAATTTTATTAGTTTATATTTATTATAAATATATATTAATATATATACTCTTTTTTGTAATAATATCTTTTATAATAATATATATACTCTTTTTTGTAATAATATCTTTTATAATATTTAATTAATCAGAAAATTACAAGATACTTGAAATTATCTGAAAATTGTTCCTAGTTGAGAAACACTGCTTCGAAGTACGTTATTTACCAGGTTATAGTCTTGTACTTGCAAATAACAATTCGTTTCTGATATTATAGTTATGTTGAATTTTTAAGTGAGAAAATAAAATTTGAGAAAATTTGACAAACAAATTATTAAATGCAATGTCTGAAACAGTAATTAAAAATACCGATTCTGGAAACAACTTGAATCATAATATTAAACAAGAATCTGCACAAGAATGTACGTCTGAAAAATATAAAAAAAATTTTAGAAAAGATAATAAATGGAGCGGTGATTACAGAAAAAATAGAGGATCGTATAACAGTGGTAAGCTTTCAGAAGAAACATATTTTAAATATCATTTTTGCGAAACCAATCCTTTCACGTTTGAAATTTTTTTAAAGGATTTCGAAATAATAATTTTGGCAATAAACCTTTTAAACGTAATTTTAATAATTGGTCGAATTTCCAATCAAATGGAAAAAGAAAGAAATTGAAAGTTGGAAACAGGCTAAAGGAATGCGATGTTGGAATTACAGAGTTTATAGGAAATGATGGATTTTTTGGTGTTATTAAAGAAAGATATACAGATTTTCACGTTAACGAAATTGCTCTTGATGGACAAATCGCTAAATTATCAAATCAAGACATTCCATCAGATGGAGAAGATGACAAAAATTTACAAGACTTAAAAAAGATGGTATCGGATACACTTTGGAATCAACTACAGAAATTAAAAGAATCAGAAGAATCTACCATAGAAATTGATGTAACGAACATGGATAAGGATCAGCGTAGAGCAATTCATAGAATTGCTACGACAATGAAGAATATTATTAGCCAAACTATAGATAAGGAAAATAAAAAGATCATGATGATCTTACCAAATAAAAATAATAGCAGTGCTGGTATGTTATATCCATTTTCAATTCAGAATGTATTATTATTGATTTATATATGATACATTTTGCCCTCAGGTCGTAACTTCCGGAGAGATAAACGGGTAGATTGGAAAAAGCGAGGAGAATATTGTTACTTTTTGTTACACAAAGTGAATATGGATACAATGGATGCTCTGAATCAATTAGCCATGAATTTACATTTAAGGCCAAATAATTTTAGTTATGCTGGAACAAAGGATCGTAGAGCATGGACCACTCAATGGGTTAGTGTCAGGAAAGTTTTACCCACAGATATATTAAGAGCAGCAAAAAATGTACGTGGAGCATATGTAGGAAACTTTAAATTTGAAACAGAATCTTTGAAACTAGGCATGTTGAATGGTAATTCCTTTAGAATTGCTTTGAGAAACGTCAGTGGAACAGATGAGCAAATTGAAAAAACCATGATTTCTTTGAGAGATCATGGATTTATAAATTACTATGGTCTGCAAAGATTTGGTACTGTAGCTACTATTCCAACTTATGAAATAGGCAAAGCTTTACTTCAAGGTAATTCTCTTAATTTAATTTATACAACAATTTAACTTTTCTAATTTTGTGCAAACTTTGTCTAATATAAGAGTATATATTTTGTATTGTACAAAAAATAGGTAAATGGAACGAAGCGATCAATTTAATTTTAAAGCCTAGAGAAGAAGAACAGGATGAAGACTTGGTAGAAGCTAGAAAAATATATGAAAAAACTAAAGATGCAAGTGCTGCATATAACAGGATTAGAAGATACGATAAAATAGAGGCTACACTTTTAAAGGGTCTTAGTATATCTGGTATTCATAATCCTCAAGGTGCTTTGGATTCGATACCCAGGAATGCTCGCTTAATGTATATTCACGCCTATCAAAGTTTTGTATGGAATTATATGGTATCAAGAAGGATAAAAGAATTTGGAAGAAATCCTATAGTAGGGGATTTAGTATATGGAAAAAATGTAAAACATAATGATAACGAAGGAGAATTTGTTTATGATAATGGAAGCGAACTTGCAACTGAAGGTAATGAAGAACCTATTAAAAAAATAAGTAGACTTGAAAGCGAAATGGATGTAGACGTAAAGATCGAGAAATCTTCTGAAGCATCTGAAGAATTATCAAATACTTTGGTGGAAGAAGTAACAGGTGCTGCAGAATGTTGTCTTAAAATAGATGAGAGTACACAGCAAAGTGGAACTACTAGTGAAAAAGATGAAAGCGACGATTCATATAATCTTCCTATGGTAAAAATTCTCGAAGAAGAAGATTTATCAAATTATACTTTGGCAGATGTATTAATGCCTCTAGTTGGCTGGAAAGTTACATACCCACCTTATGCTAAACCATGGTTTGATGAGTTTTTAGCAAAAGATGGATTAACTACTGACCTAAGACAGAAGAATAAGTAAGTTACCAAAAATGAATTTTCGACCTATTATTTTTGTGTTATAATATTTTTTATGTTTTATATCTATTTAATTTTAGAAAATATAATTTGGGAGGTGCCTATAGAAGGATATTGCAAATTCCTTCAAATTTATCTTGGAACATTACGCATTATTCGGAGAAACATAGCGATCTTATTATGTGCGATATGGACGAAATGAGGAGGTCATCAGCTCCAAAAAATGATCCAAGTATAATCTTTCACCGCTATATTTTTCAATTTTTCAGCGTACATTAAGATATTTTTATTTTTTATTAAGAGCTAATAAATATGCGTGAAATTTTCCAATTTTTCAGAGGGGCAATATAAAGCTTTAATAATAGAAATGTCTTTAAAATCTTCTACATATGCAACTATGGCGTTGCGCGAAATTTTAAAATCTGATACTTCACCGCAAGCACAAGCTGCTCATTCTGCTGCATGTAACATGGAGGTAGAGAATTCAAACACTTTGAAAGATCTTGCAGAGAGCGAAAATACTAGTATCTGAAGCAATATAAAGCTGTGATAACTTCCTTGTACGATTAAATAAAATATGAAAACCACTATTCCTATTAAAATGTAATTTAAAATATTTAATGACATATAAGTCATTTTGACGTATAAGTTCATTTTACTTCTATCTCATTTCCATATAAACAGATAAAAATGTTTAGTAACAAAGAAATATATTTTATTTTTATCTTAAGTAAGAGTGCATTTTGTTTCGATTATTTTTATATTTTTCAAATGTGAAATGATTTCAAAAATGAAATAATATTGTTTTTATTTTTACATATATACACATAATGAAGAACAATAAACTTTGAAATATTCAACATCTGTGTATTTCTTTAAAAATGTATCTCAATTTTATAAACTGAAAGGTGTGGTATCATCTACTTTAAAGCTTAAAATAGGGAGGAAGCATCTTCGAAATCGATCTTTCACGATAATGTTGCGATGTACATAGTATATATAAATCGGGGTATTGTCACGTGTGGTCGATGAAGAAGCGATTTGTAATGATTCCGAGGAGACTTCTATAGCGTTAATATCCTCTCAGGTGACAAACGAGGGAATGACGCTGCAGGACGTCCGGCGTCCCGATGCCATACGACAAATTATCTCACCTCCGCTCTGGCCGAATACCGTGAAAAATCGCCGATATCGTGACGAAGCGTTACTGTTCAAAAACGTATCGTTCTATTGGGATAATTAAGCGTTATTTTAGTTTAATCTTATTATACAGCATCTTCTCATAATAAATATTAACACACGGACGGAATTATTGAAGTTATTAGAAATTTAAAGTTGTTACATTGCAATTAATAAAACACAATATGAAAATAAATAAAAGTGTTATCGGATTGCAATATGTTACTGTAGTTTAATAAATAAATTGTAAGGTATTGAATATCAATTGATTAATCTTGTAATTATAGATTCAATAATGTAAATGTTTGATTGGAATACATTGTTTTTTTGAAAATATTTAATGCCAAAAAGGAAGAATTTTAAGCCAGACGTACAATTATGATTGAGCAAATGCTTCAAACGTTAGGAAATATTTCTTGGAATATTTTTTAAACATGCTTATTGTAGGAAATGTGGTTTGTTGCATGACTTTTACTTTGCGCGAGAATGCGGTGTCATTCGAACATCTTTGGTACTAGTTGGCACTATAGAATAATAGGAAGCACAATATGGAATGACAATATGTTATTTAACTATTAACTATATTGTAGTATTTCTCCTACGTAGCAAGTTTATGAGATAGCTTTTATTTTCTCCTCTCAAATAATGCAGATCATGGAAGTACATGTAGAGTATTTAATTCTTAATATCAAAATTCTTGCGATTTTTCGATATCATGAAATAAATTACCAAATCGTTTATTGATAGCAAACAATCGAATAATAAAAAGTTATAGTCACAAAAGACCATCAATTTCTTACATACTTCATTTTTTGTAAAAGTACGAAAATTAAATTATAATTTATTACATAATTATATATCAAGTTCACTAGAAGATATTTTGAAGTATTTTATATCATCGTGATGCTGTGTATGTAATAAAAAGGTGTATCAAACTCCGCCCCCCTGAAGAAATACCGCCCTCCCGACATGCGCCTTCGTCGCCGCAACCCTCTTTCTCACCTGTAATCGCTTGCATATGTTTGGAGCAGCGACCACCTAATTCGAATTTACCCTTCTTCATGTTTGGATTCTTCGACGAGGTGCGGGAAATTTTATTGTTGGTGTTATACGTGAATTTTTTCCAGATATCGTCGCCCTTAAGAAAGATCTTAAAGAAAGTTTGTAATGTCTGGTAAGAGTGGAATACAATTAAATAAGTAACATTTTTAGATTAGAAACAACTTTAAATTTCTCAACCACGAGAGGAAACATTTAACACGTCATCTTCGATTTTTAATAAATCTCTTAAAGCGTATCGCGCAAATTAAAATAAGTTTTGCTTTTCATTTTGTTCGATTAATGTTTTGTTATTTTATCGTTGAATGAAACAGTGTGCAGCGTAGCGCAAGATGCGCCGTTAGATTTGAGTTGTCGCAATCCCGAAAGAAAAACGAATTTGTTAAATTCTTCGAAATTTCAAAGATGTTTACCTTGTCAAACGTGTGGCAAAAATTTTGACAGACCTTCCTTGCTCAAAAGGCATTTACGTACCCATACAGGTCAGTGTTAATTTACTTTGTTAATTATATTACAGAAACTCGAATATAGTAATTTTAATTTCACTCGGATGAAGTATTCTTACAATTTTATCATAAGTAACATAGATCATAGATTTAAAATTAAGATATTTAAAAAACAGACAATTTTTATTGGAGTAAAATTAAATTTCAAAGAAATGACAAATTACGCTCATTAATAGGTGAAAAGCCACATGGTTGCGCCGTCTGTGGAAAAATGTTCAGTACAAGCAGCTCCTTGAACACACATGTCAGAATACACACCGGAGAACGGCCACACGAATGTCCAATGTGCGGAAAGCGTTTCACTGCTTCGTCAAATTTGTATTATCATCGAATGACACATTATAAGGTTTCTATTAGTCTTTGATATTTATTAATCTTCGTTTAACCCTTTCAACTATGCATAAAGCGTGGCGAGTAAAATAAGCAAACAAGCGTACTTTTGTTTAATTTGCTGTTGCTTGTTGTAAACGATATCGCAATGTCTAATGTGTAATACTGACAGTAAAATGCAATATGCAGGAAAAACCGCATAAATGCAACGAATGCGGACGTTCTTTTCCAACCCCTGGTGATTTAAGAGCTCATGGGTATTCTCACAGTGGTAACTGGCCGATGCGATGCTCGGTTTGCAATCGAGGATTTTGTAAACCTGGAGCTCTACATCATCACATGCAAGTGCACAGTGGTAATTAATATTAATTAGACATGGCGAAATGTAAGAACTAACAACCGATGGATCTTTGACAGTCTGTGAAATCATAGAATAGGAGTAATTTTTTCTTTTCGAAAATAATAATTTCTCATTTATAAAAATAAATTCACATGCTTTAAAACGTTTGTATGAAGGTATATATATATATTGTAATTGTTCGTCTTTTGGTATCTTTATATCTTAATCGATGCTTCGAGCTTTTATCGAAAGATTAAGCTTGTTATGCTAAACTATCTGCGATATCCATTTCATAGAATAAAATAAAAGCTGAATCGTTGATTTGTTTTCAGGAAACAGGCCATATCGTTGTAACATATGCAAGAAACAATTTGCCATGATAAATAATTTACGATCGCACGAGCAGTCTCACGATCTCGATCTGCCAATTCGAAATACCACCGCTAATTCTTCAAACGCAGAAAACGAAATATCGATTAATGCGTTTACTTTCGAAGAAGTAAACAGGAACCATTTACAACTTTCCGCGATTTATTCTTGGACTTCTTGGATACCTTTTCATTATCCCAAGTAATTAAATTAATCGAAGTGTACGATAAGTTGAACACATAGTATAAATATAGGCTGTAAGCAAATCTTATCTGTGTAATAAATCGAACGAGCACATCTACGTATGCCCGAAATTAGATCGTCACCGATTATTATTATCGTTATTAATTTCGATTCGACCTCAACGTAACGTTTATCTTTTAATAAGCTGGCTTTACGATAATTATAATTAGACTACGAATTCGTACGCGTTCGTGGGAAATTTCAAGCTGCAAAACATACGCAAAGTGCACCCGATATACGAAATTCTATAAAATATCCAAAGTATAATTCTCGTTATAATATTTCGTATGTTAAACAATTTTCTACGCTTCGCCTTTTTAATTATCTTTGTAAAAAGCACGCACTAATATCCACAGTCGAACTGTAATAACGAATTAGGGAAATATACTAATCGAGAAATTTCCAATTGCGTATCAGTATAAAATTTATTTTCTTCGTACAATTTCCCACGGAACATCATTACGCAGCGATCATCCTGGACACGGTTCACGATAACCGGCCTTTTAAGAACGCAGAAGACTAAAAGCTTCGTAAAAGTTTTCCGAGCAACGATTAGACTAAAACACGTATATCGTTCGAGTTATCCTGGCTATTGGAATATCGAACTTTGTGGTCAAGAATTGGTTCGTTTTGCAACTTCATCTCCTTGGACATCGGTATATATTCCAATTCAACCAGCAACAACTCGTTTTCACCTGTTCTCAAATATGATGCAGGAACGTAGAGAGTGATTTGAGGACCAGCCACCGGCCAATATCGACCTAAATTGCGTCCGTTGACGATAGCGACTCCCTTGCCCCAACCATCGGTGTTTAGATAAGTGTCCATCGGTTGGCCAGAGATTGAAAAGTTTCCTCGAAGTATAACTGGGCCATTGATAAGAGTTTTGCTTATGGATAGGGTGGATTCGATGTCGTCGAGAGGAGTAGACGGGACGCTATCCAGACGGAATCCAGTCATTTTCCAAGGGCCAAGGGAAATACCGTTTAGAGTTACCTCCGAAACACCCTAGTAGACAGAAGGAACATTCAACGAATAAGATAATACGCGAATTTATCGTTATTTTTATAGCTACGTAAGATCATCCTATTTTCTTCGCGATTTCTCATTCGAATAATGCGCTGTTCGAACGTTGGCGGCTCAGAGAAACGAATTCGATCGGCAGAAGTTCGGTTAAGCTAGCTTTAAAATTTGTTTCTCAGTGTCTAAGAAAAATCAGACTACCACGCGTTAATCCACTTCGATGCAATTGTGTCAAGGAACGATGAAATCGACTGGCTGACCTTATAATCGCGAAGTCCACTTCCATAGTTCAATCGTCCTTGGTTCTCGACCAGTAGCTTCAGTCTTCGTCCGTAAAGATCCTTTATATTTATATCGTAGATATTATCGGTACGGCTTAGAAATCCAACGAGATGATCGTCTACGTAGACCAACGCTCTGTCCCGAACCTTGGCGCGTAAAATCGCAGGATCCGGACGGCCACGTACTAGATCGGTCTCGTATAGTACCAGCCAATGAGGCAGTCCCAATTCTTCGAACGTCAATGGGTTCGTTGCTTCGACCGTGATCGTTCCAAATAATTGTCGGGCACGAGGTTCGAATAATTGTAGAATTGGCACTAGGAGAACCGTACCGTAATCTCCTTTTGGAGATGGTGATGGAAGGGGCACGTTTGGCAATGGCAAATACTGTAGGAAAAAATCGATGCTATTTAACGAGATGTAAGAGTAACGTATACCACGATTTTTATATTTATTATTATTATAAATTGGGGGAAAAAAGACAAGAACGTTGTCCAGTTTCTTGAAGAATCGCGAATAATACCTTGGATATGACATTTCTGATCGCGAAGTACTTCGGCGTTGGATCACCAGCTTCGGTTAACGGAGCATCGTAATCGTAAGAGGTCAATTGCGGGTTGTATGCGTTGTGGCCACCGTTAGCACCTGTGGCATCGTGCGTTTGAGTTAGTATCTATGTACATTATACAGCTGTCGAGGCTGTAGTCTTATCATATCGACGAGACGAAGAGTTTCTGAATATTAGGATTTATTATACGAGTATATGTCATGTACCGTGTATCGAACACGATACGATTAAATTTTGCAATTAATAAACCGATAGTTCTCCCGTCCGTTGAGAAGGCCATCTAGGAATATTATGTAAATTTTCTTCTCGGAAAAGGAACTTGCAGATGTGACACATGTACCGAGAATTTTCTTTTTTATTTCTTTTTTGATATTTTTCAACGATTTGACGCGTGTTCTAGCCGTTTTTTTTTTTAAGGAAAAATTGAAAAAAATTGTTCTGAATTTTTCGTTAGAATTAGAAAATTAGAAAAATTATACCAACCAGCGGTATAACCAAAATTTGTTCCACCGTAGAACATGTATATGTTAACAGAAGCACCCAAAGATAGCATTTCATCTAAGGTTTTCGTAACTGTTGCAGTTTGTACTCTTTGAAACGGTTCCCGCCAGTGTGACAACCATCCGGGATAAAATTCAGAATTTACTAAGGGACCCTAAAGAGAAACGAAACATAGCCATTTAACAAGAAAGAATGATCAAGAGTTATACAATCTGACCGACAAGTCGTTTAAAATGATAAATAGAAAAAGTAGAGCAATTGTTTCTCATTAGTATCTCGTTCGAATTAAGTTCTACTGATTTTACGTAAAAGCGTATTTCAAATACGTAAATCTAAACGCGTATTCTACGTTTTGAACACTGGCAACTGGCATATTACGAATGCCTCTGATCTTACTCGTAGGTTTTAACCTTACGTGATATAATACTTATAACGCGATGTAGCCTTGAAGGAGAATGTGCATATGTCGGTATACACTGCACACGTGTCTAACAACTGTTGCGTTATATACATTCGTTATATACATATATTTCCATATAAAGTCATATTTAAATAACGAGAGCAATAAATGTGTCACGAAACCTGTTCACAAATATTGTATAAAATTGGAGATAAATTTATTTCATACGTATATGCATGAAATTCAATCAAAATACTTGCCGTTATATCACCGATATTGTCAGTTCAATACGAAGTCTATCTAATTAAAAATTCACGTTTAATAATTGTAATTGTACGATGATCAAAGATCGATATGTGTAAATTATTACGATTTTAATTATTCGTAGATACTTGCTCGTGGCTGATACATGCGCATTATTTCAAAGTTTTTCGTCACGTTCGTGTTGGTCCCAAAATCGACGGTGGCATAAACCTCTGGTACAAATCCGCAACGTAGCATATTCGGGTTTGATCCATCGGTCGAATACAGAAGTGCCTTCGTACCAATCTTCTGTCTCATTATGTCTCTAAGCCGAATTAAGTATTCCGTGTCACACGCGTAACTTCCATACTCGTTTTCCACCTAAAACATCATCGAAATTCCACGATCGTCACTATGATTTCGTTTTTAAGAAATTCGCAGTTCGACGATTGTTAATATATTTTTGCGAACCTATTTCGGAGTCTTACTACTTCTCTTCGCTTCACGCTGAATTATCGGACAAGTATTTTCTAGGAATTGTATCGTCAATCTTTCTTAAAAACGTTAGAGAGAAGTATATTTTGTTTCTTAGAAGAACTAAAAGTAACAAACGATGATATTTCGAGAGCGGACCAAAACGTGTTCTTTTCCGAATGAAGTATCATTGCGATTAAAATGATAGTTATTTGTCGCGAAAGTATCTTTTTCGTACCTGAACCATTATTATAGGTCCTCCATTTCCTCTTAGGTAGGGCTGAACTTTGTCCAATACTTCGTTTATATATATTTCTACGTATTTCATGTATCCTGCAAAGCGGAAGGAGAACTTCGATTACGAGATAAATCTTAGAAATAACCTGCAGTTAAAAATCGTTAAAAATTCCCACGTGGATCGTTTGTGCGCAAATTTATGTCCGGTACTCGTCCTAGTAACCAGTATGGAAGTCCACCCTGAATATAAAACATATTATTTATTTTCATGAACGATGAAATAGAAAATGAAAAAGTACAACATTTTCGAGAAATACTTACAAAATCTCTCTCCGCGCAGATGTAAGGGCCTGGCCTCAGAAGCACGAACAAACCTTCTTCCTGAGCGATGTTTATGAACTCTACTACATCCGCGTCACCTGTCCAATGCCATTCGTTTTCAGTCGGTTGATGAAGATTCCATTCCACGTATCTGCGGACAAAATCGCGAGAAGAATGTTCGCCTTCGAAATTAAAACGGTAAGATATGAATGAGAAGCAAAAGCGTCCAATATTGCAATTTTCGAACGATGAGAACGATTTAATCGTAAACTTTGACGTAGGAATAAATTAATTTGATTCGATTAGCGGTGTACCGATAATGAGAAAAAGATAACTCACGTTGAAACAGCGTTTAACCCGGCTGCTCTCATTTTTTTTAAACGATCTCTCCAATATTGCCTGGGCGTTCGGAAGTAATGAAAACTGCCGGATATGTATCGGAAGGGTTTTCCATCCAGCAGAAATTGGTTGTTCTCGTAATCGACCTCGAAGCTGAATCTCGACTGCGTATCCTGGAATTGCGAAGTTACGAATCTGAGAATTTCTTCTCAAAATCGCCGCATGTCTCTCTATTATTTCGTTGACCAACTTAAACGGTGCAAACACACTTATTCAATTACAGAGTGTGCCGCATTGCTACATCCACGTAAACTGCGTTTCCAAACCCAAACGAATTGTCCGATTGAAAGAACGCGTTGGACGACCGATGAAAAACAGAATATTTCATTAGTCGAGATTCGCTAATATTTCAGAAGCATTTGGTAAAAATCTCGAAAGACTAAGCGACTATACTTCAATATGATACCTTAAATGTAATAAAACACCTGCTATTAGATTACTATTAAAAAGTGCATATATATCAGGCGTCGAGAAATACTCGATTTCGATTATTAGCGGTTTGAGCGTCATTTTCTTATAAAAATTGCAATGCTCGAACGAATAGTAATTTCCTTGCAAAAAAAAAAAAAAAAAAAATTGAAAAAGGAACAAAAAAATTGGTCGCAATCTCCTACTATAAAATACCTGTACAAAAATAATCAAAAAACGTGATTTCAAATTCTAACTCCTTAAGACACAGTTAAAAGAAAAAAAAAAAAGAAACATTCGTAGAACAAATACAGCTACGATTTAAATTATACTTTGCTTTACATCTAAATCTTAAACTATTCTTGGAAACAAATATTTCTCACGATACTTACATTGTTTACGTGGATGTTCACCACTTCTCCCACAGCACTAGTCACTGCCAAGGTCAGTAAAACGGTCAACATCTTATCCGAATACGTTAGAACTTTGACTGTGTATCTATGTAAAACCTAAAACACTGTGTCTGGAAGCAGTTACATTCGTCGAACTATTATATATGGTCGAGTCGATTTTATCAATGAAATAATGTGTATAACCGCATTTATATTTATGGGACGCATCCTCGTCTTGTTAATAACGGAAAGCAAATAGCTGTTTATTATCGAACTGGAACCGAGCTAACGCAGAGGTTCGTCGTTACGTTCCAGTTTGTCGACGCGATTGGCTGCCTTTGCTGCGTAATGCGCACTCTGACCCGATCGAGGACAGGTCGAGATATCACTGGCCGATATAAGACGTGTCACGGACACTGTACTGACCGATACGGTGGCTTCAGGATGACTGCGGCCCGGATCGGCTGCCACCGGACACGCGAACGATCCGTTACGTGGCCGACTATGGGAACGAGACAGTGTTTTAGAACGGCTGTTCGATTGGGAAAAATCGTAATTTTTATTATTTTGTATTATTTAATTTTTGCTTCTGTTGCTTAGCATTTAAATCTCTAAAGATCCTTAATCGGAATATTATTTATTTGTATAAAAATTATTCGTATCCTATAAGCGAGCGCATATGTAACATGTATACGCATATACATAGAAATACTAATCGTCGTTATCCTAAAGAGCGCTTGGTAGCGGTCGGTATTTCTTCCTTTTGTAAAAAATGTTATTTAAATCGAATTGTTCGTAATTAAGCATTGCAATAAGAAGATTATAAAAATTCGACGACACTTCCGAGTATACGCATTGGCGAATAGTCGCTAATTAACAGAATTATCGAATGTTCGTAATTTGGCTTTTTAATAAAACTATATGGATTGATACAGGCTGTTCGAAGCTTTACACCGCTACTTTGTCGTGGAAAAAATAAGCAGGTAGAAAAGTATCGTTTATCTTGATATATTGGTATCGTTTTGTCGTTTATCGTTTATCTTGATATAATGTAAAATATTCTAATGAAATTTTGGGTATTAATTATCGTAAATTCCATAAATCAAGTCGTTCAACAGCAGAGCGTCGCCGTTTATCTCATATATCATGTGATGAAATGACAAACATCTTACGCCTTTTTTCTTTACAACTATGGTCTTTATTACTTACATATATTACACCAAGTCATCATTTTTCAACGAATATCTGAAAGATTTGACCGAAATACACGACGTAAGGTTTTCTTAATGATTGTTCAGCGCAAGTTTTTGTTGTAAATACTCCTAATAAATTTTAATAATTTTTCCAATCTGTAACTATATCGCGATATAGTTAACGGTATACTCTTTTCTTTTAAACGATAACTCTTTTAACGGTTCTGTATTATAAAAAATAGAAATCAACGTTTAAAGAATGTTTACGTCATTCTATCATCTTTTGCACACAATTCTGGCAATATTATTAGAGAAATTCTACAAGTTGCCAGTTCAAAACGTTAGTAAATTCCTTTTATCTCTTAGATCTCTTTATGTATTTATATAAATCATTAGTACCTACCAATAAATGTTTCGCATAATCCACAAGTTGATTCTGTTACACAAGGAACGAGTTTCATAATAAAACAAATGAAATCTTTGCAAATAAATCTTCAAATTAGAAATTATCTGATTGTACGTAAAATCATGAAATTATAAAAGCCAATTCTGTAACCTGTAACTAGTTCTTTATCGATTCACCGATATTGTTAATTAGTAAATTATTCGGCGAGAGAACCCAAGTAACTTTTAACGAATAATAATACAATTTTACTACACGTCGGTATCGACGTACATATTTCTTCATCTCTACTAATCATTTCAATTTTAATTTATTCCTACTATAGGAGATTCCGGTTTTACATTGGTATTTGGTTGAACCGATGGCACTGCTTCTGAAGCGAGTGTATTATATATTTCCGCATCTCCTAAAGTAGCAGACTTATCAACTTTTGAATTTGTTTGTTTGCTGCTACTGCTAGGTAATCTATTAATAATATCCAAGATACTATCTGTATTATTACTGTTTTTATCAAGTACAACTATGTAAGAATCCGATACAGTGCCATTGACATCAGTAAGAATGATTTCTAGTTGCAGAGTTTGCAATTCAGTTGTTGATGCTACTTTTGTAACGGTATCGGTAGCTTGGACGATGGATGGTTCTGTTTGAGTATTTTCCGAAGTTGTAGCTTCGCTAGGACTTGAATCTATTTCGTCGACACTGATCGTTGATTCTTCGTTAATTTCCAAAATACCACTGCTAGTGCTACTATTATTATACATATCATTGATACTATTATTAGTAGGAACTCTTTTGGATTGTCCTGTTTCAGATACGCTAGACTCTTCAGTTTGGGAGGGAGACAATGTTGTTCGCGCGCTTTTTAAAGTTGTGGATTCAGTAGCACTTGAATCTGTCTGCACATCATTTTCGTTGGTAGACGTTTCTTCGTTACTTACAGCAGCGTCTGTTTCACCTGTTACCACACGATTACTGCTCGATGCATCGACGTTACTATCAGCTATTGTTGTTTCTGATACCGAAGCTGATTCTTCAGTTGCAACTTCTGTACCTGCAGCAGTAGAAGCTTCGCTTCTTGGAGAAGACGTATCTATTTCTCCTTCTGCTGTTGTCGATTCATTAGCGGTAGAACCTGTTGATTCATCAGCGCTGGACTCCGTCGTTTCGCTATTGGTGCTCCTTGATGTTCCACTATCAGCACCGGTTGATGTTTCGCTATCTGTACCATCGTTAACAATAATCGTAGCGATCAAATCGCTTGATGTATCGGCAGGTTCGTCGGTAGCAACTGTTTCAGTTCGAGCACCGGACGCTTCAACCGACTGTTCTGTTTCGGATTGATCACTGGACGTTTCAGTTTGAGAGGAAGATGCCGATGTTCGTGCGTTTTCTACAGTCGTGGATTCGGTAACGGTCGAGTCTGTTTGCCCGTTACTTTCATCGGTAGACGTTTCTTCGTTACTTAGAGTTGTCTCCGTTTCAGTCGTTTCGCCTATGTTGCTCGATGTATCGATCTTATTGTCAGTTTGGGTAGTTCCTGGCTTTAAAGACGATTCTTCAGTTGCAAGTCCTCCATCTGAATCGGTAGAAGTTTCACTCTCTCCTCTTGCGGTTACTGATTCACTGCTATTAGAATTTGTTTCGCTATCAACGCTGATAGATGTTCCATCATTCTCTGTACCATTAATAACGATAATCGTAATGTTCGAACCATCTAATGCGCTAGAAGATTCGTCGATAGAAGCTGTCCGAGTATCCGCTGTTTCAGTCGATCGTTCTGTTCCACTTACGATAGATTGGTCAGTTTGAGAGGGAGATATTCTCTGCACGCTTCTCGTAGTAGACTTACTATCGTTCGAATTTATTGTTTCAGCATTTGAATCTGTTTGCCGACTAGTACCAGCGATTAAATTATCGCTGTCCGAACTTTTATTGGCACTGTCATCAGTCACAGTGATAACATTGGGATTTTTGCCAGTGACGGTAATAGCGTTGGCACTGTCGTTACTAAGATTGGTTTCCGCTTGTGTACTTGATGTTTCATTGCCTTGTTTTTCTCCTGTTACAGTTGAACCATTGGCTCGAGAACTAGCCGCTGTTGTTTCTTCGCTTTCTGTTGCGATGGATCCATCGTCGTTTGAATCTGTTTGTCGATTAGAACTGCTAGTTGATCTTCCGCTATTGTCCGAAGTACCCTTTGCGTTATTTGTATTTTCCGCATTACTCGTCGTTTCTGAATCGGAGTTCCATGCTTCAGTCACCTGTACTGTTTGCGTCGCGCTAGAACTTTCTTCAGCTTGAGAAACGGAAGCTGCTTCTGTATCTGACGTCGAAGACTCGCTGGCACTTGGTTTCGTTTGCTCATTGGAACTGTTTGTACTCGTTTCATCACCATTGGTAATTACACGAGTTGTTTCCGACTCCTGATTTGGTGTTTCGATCTCCTGCTGTCCATCTGTAACATTAGAAGTTTCAGGTTGCCAAGATGATGCTGTTTGCTCGTCATTCGACGCTGCAGCATGATCGCCCTTACTGCCGGTGGATCTTCCACTATTACTTGAAACATCGTTTGTATCAGTCGTAACATCTACGTTATTCGATACACCAGCACTATCATCGCTGGGAGTAGCTTTCGGCTTCAAAGTCGATGCTTCATTTGTCTGTCCAGAATTTTCTGATTGAGGAGCAGGCGATGTCGTTTCCTCAGCCTTCGATGTTGAAGATTCATTGGTATTTGAATCTGTTTGTGCATCTGCACTGTCGGTAGGTTTACCACTGTCATCTACGTTACTCGAAACATTGACGCTGCCATTGGTAGTAGTAGCTTCTGACTTGGTACGTGAAGTCGTAGACGTTCGTATTTCTTCATTCCTCAATGTACTAGACTCGCTAACACTAACATCTGTCTGTTTGTTGGTATCGGTGGATGTTTCACCGTTATCCACACCGTTGCCTGTTTCGGCTGTAACGCTGCCATTGTTAACTGGTTTGACAGTCGACGATTCAATAGCCTGTTGTCTTCGTGTTACTTCAGAATCTTTTGTTCGAGATACCGATGTTACTTCACCCGATGCCGCTGATCGACTAACATTCGAATCTCCCGATTCGCCAGCATCAGTGGTAGATTCTTCGTTTGAAGCGTTGTTTGATGCTTCAGACGGCGGTCCAGTTTGCGAAGTCGATTTTCTCGATTCACTCGTGTCACTGCCGGGCGCTGAGCTCTTACTCGAAGCGTCGTTTGGTTTATCCGTATTATTATCATTGCTGGATGAATTATCACTGACAACTGTTTCAGATTTGGAGCTAGAGGCTTCAGTTGTCTGCTCGTTTTCTGAGATCCTGGATGCTCCAGTTTGTGAAGGTAATTGAGAAGTTGTTTGTTGACCTCGTGACTCTGTTTGTCGAGCCCCTGAAGTTGTTTGTCGAGATGATGCTACAGTTGATGATTCGTTAATATTCGAATCCTCTGATCCGCTGGCACCACCGCTAGCTGATGAACTTTCACCTAAAGAGTTATTTGGTCTAATCGTGGCACGATCATTGCCGGATGGAGCGTCATTAATAGCTGTTTTTGATTTAGAACTGGAAGGTTCAGTTGTACGTTGATTTTCTGATTCTCTAGAAACTTCGCTTTGTGAAGCTGATTGAGAAGTTGTCTTTTGGGATTTTGATGTTGCAGATTCGTGAACGTTTGAGTCCGCTGATTCGTTCGCAGCATCCTCGGAATTTCCAGCGTTTGCGTTTCCTGTCTGTGAAGAAAATCATCGTTACTTAGTCGCGTATTTATTATCGTGTATTGTGAATGTACCTGCTTATTGCTATCACTAAAGGTCTATATCACTAAGCTATTGCTTGCTTGTCTTATTACCTCGGTGTTGCCCGAAATCCTGATTCCTCCTTCAACTACAACTGATCCTGAGTTTGAACCAGATTCTATCACTACTTCCTGTCCACCCGCTGAAATAACTTTATGTTGTCGAACAGTAGAGTTTGTTGCTTGTCCGTTACCAGTTGCTTCAGCTGTGTTTGTCTTGTCTTTACCGGGTAATTTTTCTTCCTTATCGGAACCATTGTCTCCGTCAACAGCTGCTTCTTCATCGTCTGTTTACGAAATTAAAATGATTAATTTTATACTGAGCGTAAAGCAATAATATTAATAATAATAATATTAATAATACTAATAATAATATTAATAATATTAATAATAATATAATAGTAATAATATTAATAATATTAATAATAATATAATAGTAATAATATTAGTAATATTAATAATAATATAATAGTAATAATATTAATAATATTAATAATAATAAATTAATTATGTATATAAATATAAACGTTACCCGTTACATTGACAGTTTCTGTTTCTTTCCAAAGTCCATCGCCATTGATTACTTTATCAATCGTTTTGATCACAGTTTTAGCTTGTTTCGAGTCTTCACCAGGTTGTGAGTTACCTTCGATTAAAACATTTATTTCAAAACCACTTTCATTTTCTATCTCTACAGACTTATTAACTTTATTCTCGTCAGACGACAGGAGACGAATCAACGATAGATCTGTTACAAAAATAAATTCATCTTTCGTAGACAAATAATCTCTTACACATTTCCTTATTTGATCTTCATGCTGATCGCTATCTTCTAATATATTACAAATGCTCATTAATTTATCTGTATGTAAATTTTTCTTTGCTTTTATTATTTTCTTCTTCAAGTCTATCTTTCTCTTCCATTCCAAATACCTACGTCTGTTCCATTCGTACAGTTTCCCGTATTGAACGTTCGTTTTATAATGTTTAAGTATATCTTTTATTTCTTTGTAGTTCTTCTTTTTATTCAATGATTTTTTTAAATATTCCTCGAAATCTTCTTCGCTAGAAGATGAATCGCTGCTAGACTCTGACGAAGAACTGGAACTTGAACTTTTATCACCGTCATTTCCCTGCGAATCATCTTTCTTTTTTCTATCTATGGAATTAGATTCACGGCGTTTCTGGTGTTTCTTATTAGATTTATCAGAGGAATTGTCAGAACTCGAGTCGGAGGAATCGCTTTCATCCGTTAAACTCCACGATTCGGCAGAACTTTTTTCAAGACGATCCTTTTTACGACGACGATTTCCATCAGATTTCCGCTTATGAGAGTCTTGTTCGCGAGAATATTCTTCGTCAGAGTTCCTTTTACGAATACGCAGTTCACCAGACTTTTTTTCCACAGATTCTTCCTCGTTTGAATTTTTCTGTCGGGTGTCCTTCTTCCTAAATAAGATCAGTTCGCTTTGCTCGGAATTGGATTTGTCCGATGAATCAGACTTGTTTTTTGTATGTAGTAGGTTTAAGGGAATGGAATGTTTTTCATGCTTTTTATTGCTGTGTTTCACGTCACGATGTTTCGAGTTTCGAAGAAGCCATTGCAGATAGTCAGAGTTCGACGCACTCTTTTCTGTATTCGAATTGCGCAGCCATGTGAGTGGATTCTCTTCCTCGATGTTTCGTTCTCTTTTGAGCTTTCTGATCGCGGAAAGCCATTCCGATTTGTCGAAAGGAGCGCCATAGACATAAACGACTGAAGAGACGAGGAGGATATTGACGATGACTGTCGATGGTAAGAAAACATTATTTTTTATTGATACTTTGGACGATATTATTTTTTTATACAAAAGAAGCTAATCTTTGTTAACTCTGTTTATTGAATGGAAAAATTATTTAGATGTATGATAGATATAAAAATAAATTTCTAATTAATTTAGGATACTTTTTTCACCCATTCGAATAATATTTAATTTCTCAGCGTTACCTTTCATTTTTTTGGAACTTTTATTAGATACAATTCTCGACGACACGTTGACACTCTCTTTTTACTGATAGGCTACATTTTTCGAGGTCCTTTTATACAGTCGCCGCCAGATAAATTTTTCTTATCACGAAAAATTTATGGCTATTATTACGATGATTCATCTCATTTCTCATGTAATACTTTGCCGTACCATAAACAATCGTTATGCGCTAAAAAAGAAGGTATCCGAAATCCTTCATACGTAATTTCCACGTCGATTCCTGGAATGGTAAATTAAATAAGATTTATCGCGATGATGTGGCAGTCACACTCGAATCTCTGTGTTATAAATATAATATATAATTTTATTATTTTCAATCAAACACCATGATGGAAGATACCATGAAAAATTATTAACTGTAGAATTTAATTAAATTTAATTCACAGATATTCAATTTTGTAATAATTTGAAGATATACGATTTACAACTAAAAGGACTACGTTCGTTTCTTATCAATGGCTGTTTATTAGGTACACGCGTGAGAAGACTATTTATAGGTCGATGCATTTATTCGGAGATATTGACAGGTTGCAATGATACAGGCGTCGAAGGAGGAGAACGTTGCACGGTTACATAATACTCCTCTTATTTTTATTTAAATTACGATACTTATGAGATTTAAGAGTATAATTACAATGTTTCCTAAAATTAATTTCAGCATCAAAATACAAGAAACGAATACAAGATACGAGACTCCAAATAAATTGAACATCGACCAACGTGAATCAACGTTATTTCCTACACAGGATCTGTTGACTCTTTCGAGGAAAATGATGCTATTTTTTTAAAACTAAAATTAACTATGTTTAAGCCTGTCGACAAAGAGTTAACAAGCGAGCTGTGAGAGCCGAGTCGAAAGTGACGGAAATCGAAAGTGACTGTAGTAGAGAGCGTGCAAGCGGCGAAAGTGAACGTGATCCTGACCCAGGACACTCTAGTTTCCTCGGTGCGACAGAGAGAGATCTGTTCGGCAAGCGTGTGCTAGGTTAATAGAAATCTCGGTTGGGTCGGGTCAGGACGACCGTTGCGGTCAGCGAAAGTGAAAACGAAACGAAACGAAACTCTCAAGTTGGTCGTGGGCTGCAGATGTAGGTTAGTGAAATTGAGGCTGGTAAAAGTAGGCTAGTAGAGTCGTGCCCCATATCTCTCTGTCTCAACACTTTCGTTCTCGATTCGTGTACAGTTCATACCTTGGTATAGTGCGAGGCGCGTTTACTTTCGTGCGAGTTCGAGAATCTTTTACGAAGTCCGCACCAATGGCAAGAGTCGTTTTATCAACCAAAACTGGGTTTACGAGTAATCAGGTTATACGAATTAACGCAATAAACAGAATTTTTGCAACAATTGCATTATTTCGAGATTGGAGGCAGATTTTGTGGGCAAAATTTTTGGACGGAATGGAGAATATTTTGCAGTGTCTCGAACCCGATATCCAGCAGGATAATAGGTCATTCGCCGTTTTTTCTGTACTAGTTTTCAAAGTTACTAATGATGGAAATTACCCCAGAGTCTTCTCATTGTTGGTTTTCCAGCGTAGCTGATATCGATAAGGCGTATCAGTAGCTTCCTGTGTTTCGAGGTAAGACCCCTGTTACATGACTGCTTTGAAGAGATTAGCGTTTGCCATTTTTTCTCTTAGATTTTTCTGTTGGTCTCTCCCTTTAATAAACACCAAGACGTAAATTTCAGTAATTAGTAGCATCTAGGAAATTATAACGGTCGAGAACTTTTGTATCAAATATAAATGTATAGAACAGAAAGTAATTAGAAATTGTTTATTTGAATTTTTCAGTTAAAAAATGTCTACTTTAAAAGTTTCTTAAAGCGGTATCTTTCATTCAAAGGGAAATGGTATCTTCCATGAGTAATTTCTCTCGTTTCTCATCGAAGGCGACGAGACGAGCATAAGCAATGGATGCACGACGTTTGTTAATACGTCATCATTAGCGGGGCTGTAAATTAATACTCTTCTGTTGGTCGATGCTTTTGATTTTACATTTGTAGCAAATCAGATATCGATAACTGTGAAATTGCAACAGAATTCCCCGTTAAGCAGGAAAGAAATCATGTTATTACGGTATTATACGGAAAGATGTTTAAAAAATACGGAAAATATACTACGACTGGTAATCAAGTCTTCATGGACAGATTCTTTCTTCGTACCGAAAGTCAACGAACATTGTGTCGGGTCATCGTGCTAGGAGAGATATCGTACGATGTTAAGAGTAGAATAAAAGAACTATTTCATTTAGGGCACTCGTCTATTTTAATGCATAAATCTTCCGCTTAATTATATCGTCTTGCGTATTCCAGGAAATTATTTTAACGTTAGTTAAATTGCATACGAAGCTTCGACTAAAACTAACTTTTACATTTTTTAGTTTTCTAGTAAAAGATGATAATCGGACTGTGGATGTTTGTGCATTTACAGAAGAGTTAATTGTACATCAGATGCAGAAGTATATGAAATACTTAAAATATAGTATCCGTTATAATATCTAATAGACGAAATAATAATTTTCTTAGGTTTTATAGTTTCAATTGTGTTCTTAAAAATTATTTGGAGCATATATCAACTCTCTCTCTCTCTCTCTCTTTCTCTAATATATAAGTTATAAGTTAATAATATATAAGTTATAAGTTAATATAAGTTAATATATAAGTTATAATGATATAAGTTATCCATCTGTGATACGTAAGTATACCGTATTATATTGCAGTTCGGTAGTTCATTAATGGGATCAAAAAATAGAGTAATATTAAAATAAGATAAAATTGTAAAAAAAACTATAGATCCACTTTTTCCTTTTATACGATCGTTTCTAAGAATTATACAAGATAAAAGCACATATTTTCAGTCTTCTGTGATGATGTGCCACAAACAGCTTTTACGCAATTGCTGAAGGAATTAAACCACTTGAATTCATTTCCGGAACACCATTCTTTTACTAGCATAATATGAGTACAGTGTTCTTATAAATTCTTTCTTCATGGTTCCTTTAATCTTCGCGTCTCTATACCCTTCTTTCGTGTAAATTGGGTTAACGAGGCTATTAAGCGGAGGACCTCAAACCTTTTTGATTAGAGGTTAATATGAATCAATATAAACGTTATAAAGTTACAAAGTTCATTTCTATTACCAGTTGTTCAAGCCGCTGTTAAGGATACCTTTGGATGAATAGACGGTCAATATTGATTATCAGCTTGTGTGGAACATTTCAAAGAGAGCATATAATTAATGGGAATTAAATAAACGAATAAAGATAAATAAAATAATAGTGGGAATAAAATAAAACATATTTAGTACATATTTAACAAAAAACCATATGTTTCGCGGATAGACGCGTTCACAGTATAACGCGCCAACGAGAGTCGTAAATTCTCGTTAGGATACGATGATCGATGCCGCGAATCAGCCGATACCCTATTTCGATTAAGATAATAGGGGTGGTTGAATAATTATAACACTGATTTAACAATTTAAGTATGCTCATTATTCCAACGACATTTCCTCGAAGAATATAAGGTGAAGAGTGACTAACAAGTTGAAATGTATTCTTTTTTTTTTTATTTGTTAAAATTTACAATCAATTCTCGCATTGAGAATTTTCATTAATTTTTTCTGGCGTGACGCAGTGACATGGCTAATTATTTATAATAAGTTAATACTTATTATAGATAAGTATAATTTATAAGTAAGTATTATAAATAAGTAAATATTACTTAATTTAGATAACTAATTGAATCTAGCGTTTAGGTCTAGCGAGTGTCTCTTCAGCCTGCGGATCTGGTCCGACGTATCAAGTAGTCCAGTAATTAGGGGATTTCGATGTCTGTTGACTCTTTTGCTATATCTGTCGCTATATTTTGCTATTTCCTCTTTGACTGTTGGTATCTTGAGGTCGCTATGTATTAGTTCGTTGGTGACATACCAGGGTGCATTTATAATGGATCTTAGCGTTTTCGAAGGGAAGCGTTGAAGCATTTCAATGTTGGAATCACTTGCTGTTCCCCATAGTTGGATTCCGTAGGTCCAGACAGATTTTATTACGGGCTTATAGAGGATAATTTTATTCTGTGTGCTTAGTTTGGCCAGGAGATGTATTCTGTTAATATTCTGTTCAAGTTAAGTATGCTGTTCGAAGGGATTATAGCACGTAAATTGCGTTCCGTGACGGAAGTATTTATACGATCTCTTGCGGGTGAGATGACCGTTGAACATGGGAAAAATCCACTTATCGCGTCTTTTGCCGGATTGAGCAATGATCTTAATGAATTTCTCGACCTGTAGGATGTTTAAGCAGCAATTAAGGACCTTAAAAGTGAAAATGTTAAATTTAATGACAGTTCCTTAGAATTGTTGCGGGTTCGACTAATTATATTTGTACAGCCAGCAATCGTCTTGACCGAGGGATGGATTTTGGTATATGGCAAGGTTACGGGGCGTAAGACTGTACGAATAAAACACATAAAGACGTATTTATAGCGTCTCTGCCGTGATTACACCCGTTATTATTATATTTGAATTTCATCGGAAGTATTGCTCGATATTTTCTCAAATTTGGGATACTTTTAAAGCTCGATATGGTGGAAAAGATATGGAAGGGTTGTCCTACGCATATCGTCGATCCGACTGTCTCTCGTAACAGTGCGATTGCCTTATGGTCGCACACAGTGCTCGTTCTTTCGCTGGAAACCGATGGACTGTACTGATTTGTACTGTATGTCCACCTTATCAGCGTACGCGTAGACACTTTAACTTCTTCCGGGCAGACTGATAACGTTCTAGCCATCATCGGGCGAAAATTTACGAAGCTCGGGGCAGATCTACGCGAATTTTGCCAAAAAGAACTGCAGTCCATTAACTTATCGAGAACAATTTATCTGCTTTTCCTGCCAATCATTCGAACAAAGAGGAAATCATTTGCGAACGTTATCACCTTATTAACAGTTATTTCTGTTTTATCCACTGGGATGCTACTCTGTATGACCTTGACATCATCTCAAATACTTGGTTGACACCTTCATACCACTGCAATCATCGC